CAGCACCCAGAGCCAGAGCCAGAAGGGAAAAAAGTGGGAGGAATGCAGGCCAGAGAGGGCAGGGAGGAGCAGAAGGGGAAGGGAAAACAATCAAGCATCACCTATGCCAAGGGAATGGGAGAATTGGGGGCCAAAGGCCTGTACCACCCTCCTCTCCCATGCCCCAAAGCAAGGGTGAAATGAAGAGGTCTTCCCACACCTTGCAGTGCTCTTTGGACCCAGTCCCTGGGCACAGTAACTCCACTCAGCTGCAGGCAGCCCAGTAAAGTCCAGTGTCTCTGATGCCTCATGGCTCTCTCCGCCACTTGTCCCAGGTGTGCTGCTGGCTACTGCATGCTGGCAGGGCAGGAAGGGAGCTACATACGTGTGGCCATCTGGACTGTTGGAGAGCTCGTCCCTCACCTGCATGGCAGCCACAAGCACGTGTGCATGCAGCAGGCAGGGCCGGGGATGGGTCTCAGTGCAGGATTATCTCAGCCGGCTCTGAAAGATTCTGCCCTCCATCATCTCAACAAGTGGGCACTGCTCATGCCACAGTCTTCTCATGCTTTGCCTCCTCCCCTACTCCCCAGACTGGAAGGGATGGGACCAGGGAAGTCCCTCTTCCAATTCAGGCCACTGCACCTCACACAGAAGACCATATCTGTCTCTAGTCTAGCCAAGCCTTTGCTGCAAGGTAATGATCCATTAATAGCAAGGCCACACACAGTGGACTGGAAGGACTGGAGTCTAGTCCCCTGCTTTCCCAGGCAGCCCCAATCCCTAGCTCAGACCCATTTTGAACCGCACACACAACCACAAGGCACAAGGCCAGATCCACGGAGGACAGTCTGGAGTAGACCACAGGCACAAGGAGGGCAAAAGAGGCCACTGCCAATACAACAACAAGGGAAGGGGTTAGTGGGTACACACGGGATCCTGGCATGGGGGACATGACCAGATGGACAGCACAGCACATGAGACAGAGCTTCCTGCATCACTGGCTTTGAAACACCAGTTTGAGAGACACACACACTACGCACCTACCAGCTGGAAATGCCAAGGCTACAGTCTACTCTGCCTCTGCTTCATTACCCTTCACGCCAAAACACCATGGGCCAGCTCTCTCACGGCTGGGCTGGAGTCACTTGCACCCAGGCAAAGGAGAAGTAGCCAAATCAGGACGTTCCTCCTCACCAGCATAAACAGCAGTGCCAGGCAGCTTGACAGAATGGATCCAGAGCTCAGGCAGCACCGCCCCGTGTTAACTTTGGGCCGACACAGGGTGCTCTGCAGAGTAAGAGCCCTGCCAAGGCACGAAGCATTTGTCCTAACCATTAGGCAACTGCACGGTCTGTCCCCCACAACAGATCTTGCTCTGCCCTTACACGCTGATGAGAAATGGAGGCTCTGGACATTGGGTGCCTGGCTCAAGGCCACTCAGGGACCCAGTGCCTGAGCCAGCTTCTCACACGCCTGCTACGTGTACAGGCCCCCCACGGCAAGAATCCCACCAGTTATTTAAAGCTCCGCTATGGTGTTGAGTGAGCAGACAGCACACCACAAAGCGTCTACTCCTGACATACCCCAGACGCTGTGGTTTGCCATTGGTCACAGATCAGATCCTAGCCCAGCCATCCTTCAAAGGGAGCTGCTTTTTTCCCCAAGAACGGAGCTGTGAGACCAAATCAACAGCACACGCCGAGGGCAGGCCACAGAAACCCTATGCTGTGCTTCAAGCGTGCCGGGCTAGCAGTCTGGGATGGACTCTTCGGAGACCGCACGTGTGTCTTTAAATAGCTAGGGTGGGGGCTGCATGAAGCTGGGACGACGTGGAGACTCAACAAAAGTCTGCGGTGCAGGGACCATGGTTGAGACGAAGTTGAGGTCTGCTGCAGAGGGGTTTGATACACAGGCAGCAGAAAGAAGGGTGCAAGCCTGCCAGAGATGCTAATACAAGATTGCGCTCTATGGGCTGTGTTTTCATCCAAAATCTCCAATCCACTGTCTATGGCTTAAGGCAAAATGGTGCCAGGAACACTCTGGTTTAGCACCGTGACAGTGCAAAACAAGCATCTACAAGAGGAATATCTCACTGGGCATAATGGCTCTGGGAGGAAAATGGTTAGTGTCAGGAAGTCTGTAATCTATTCCCAGCAGCAGGTCAGAGGCAGGGGTAAATGGGAAGAAGCACGTCTCCAACATGCCCAGACTCCAGTGCTTTCAGCCATCCCTCCCCTGAGCACCAGGGCAGAGGGCTCCCACCACACCTGCCTCCTCCATGGGACATACTTACCCAGGATCTTGCTGATACTGGAGTTGTGCATATCTGGGAAGGCCTGCAGGATCTTCCGCCGCTCGTCCTTGGCCCAGACCATGAAGGCGTTCATGGGCCGCTTGATGTGGTTGTTGTTCCTGGACTCAGGGAAGTGCCGTGAGCCTGAGGGAGCACAGCAAGGAAGAGTCAGTTAGGAGGCCTGGAAAGCAAGGACACAATACAACCTGCAAGGGAATGAAGCAGCCAGGCACTTCTCCCAGCTTGGAAAGTGTTTTAAAGAGGGCAAAGGCACTGTTCACAGGCCCCCATGGAGAAGGAGGCTCAAATCCCACCTCACTTGCAAGACAAGACCAAATGTCTGTTCACAGTTTGGAAGTTCATTCTTAGCAGCCCAACCACAGAGACCCAGGGTCCCATCAGCCTGTTTCCCCGACTGGACCTGTGGCTTCTCAGGCCCTCTAGGAAAATAAATCTCAGCCCCTTGGAGCCTGTTTTTTCTGTAGTGTTAGCATTGGCAGCTCTCACACACTTCTCTGGATCCACGGGGGGCTCAGCACATCTCAATATTGAGCTCCCGAGGTCTCCGGGTGAACAAGGCAGCACCTGAGCTAAGCAGGAGGGGACACTTCCAAAGAGCTTGGATGAAACAAAGTGCATAGGTCTCGGTTCAGCTCCAAAGCAGTATTTTCCTTCTTCACCTTCAAGGAAGGTGTACAACTGGAGCTCAGAGCAAGGGCAGCTGCCCCTCAGAGCAAGGAGCATCCGCAGGGCTTGTGGAGGGTCCTTTGACCGGCAGCTGTCTCAGCAGCTCCCACAACACGGCCCACAATACAGAAAGCACCATTTTGGTGCAAACTACAAATGCTCCATCAGCAATGGAGAACCCCAGAGTAGGGCTGCAGAAAACAGGTGATCGGCTGGCCACAAAGGAGATTGCCACACCCTTCAAACAAGCACCAGCCTTGGTTGTTTTCCACTGAGAGCTGTTTTTAGAGCACAGGCTGATGGAGCAAGGTGGAGAAAGGAAAGACCAGAAGAGGGGGGAAAGTCTGGAAGAGGAGGAAAGGTATAGAAGAGCAGAAAAAAAAGAGGAAAGGAGAAGCCACCCACAGCCTCGGCCCAAAGAAGCCCTGTGGCAATTGGCATTCACAGCTCATGGCACATCTCAGGCTCAGGGGAAGGCGTCCTTACCATCCATGTCACAGGTTATCATGGCCTCGTCCAGCCTGTGTGCACAGGTCTCTTCCACCCGCTCTTTAGCTGGGGAGGAGTCCACTCCGATGTGGTCCTACAGGCACATGGAGAGCAGAGGTTACTGCCAGCTGCCTATGTAAGGAAGTGGGCTGGCAGTGGAGTTACTGGCAAGGGACCTTTTCCCTAGGGGAGGGTCCAACATTGCCCACCCGCAGGCAGGCCATCTGGCTTGCAGTGTCATGGCAGAACAGCTCTGGGATCCAATGCCTGGGGTCTCCATTCTCTTGGGCTCCTCTTGTATCTGAGCACAGCCTCCCCCAAGAATCCTGCTCTGTGTGCAGAGCTGGCTTCTCCCAGACATGTCTGCCTACATCCATGCTGCGCCCAGGGAGCATCACCGGGGAGCCAGCCATGCCCTCCTGCTCCCCGCTAGTGTGTGCCAAGACCCAGAGAGTGGGCGGCGGGGGACAACTGAGGGTACAGTCCAGTGTGGCACATCTCGAGCATGCTCAGCACATGCTCAGCCTTTCTACACTGGCCCATTTCTGGGCTTTGGAGCTCAGCAGTGTCAACAGGGCCCAAGACCTTCCCATCCAGTCTGGGGTCAGAGTCTAGGAGCTCCACAGCTGGGGTGTCACTCACCTTCACTCTGTAGGGGTTGCTCAGAGAGCTCTCCAAGGCCCCGCTGTGGCCATGCAGGAGCTGCCGGGCATCCTGGATGGCTTTGGTGATAGCGTCCCCCTCTCCCAGGAACCCTGAGAATAAACCCCCAGGACAGCACAGGTCAGAGCCAGCACCATCTCCTTGCAAAGGTCTCACAGCCCCTGGGACAGGCCTCTGGAAAGGACCCGATCCCCAGGCACTGAAGCCATCATCTATTTAAGGAACATCTCAGGCCACCATGAGTTCCAACTTGTTTTATTTCCAATTAGCAGCAAGCAAGGAAGTGAGAGGGTGTAACAGAAAGTTTGGTCTCTATTCTATCCATCTCCCCGCGCCCCCCCAAACCCTGACCAGTCTTTCCCTCTCTCTCCCCCAGCAATGATCCCCTCTGGACTTGGCTACTGAGGGACTTTGTTGTCTCCTAATACTGCTGTGGGCATGAAGCTTCCTCCTTAAGAATGGATCCTTTACTCTTGCTGTCTTAGAGTCATAGAGAAGTAGGGTTGGAAGGGATGTCCAGAGGTCATCTAGTCCAATCCCCTGCCTGGGGCAGGATCATCCCTGTCCCCAGAGCCTTCCACAGTACAGACACAGCAAGTCCCTGAGCTATGGGTCTGGTACCTAAGGTCTAGGCAAAAATCCTTGCTCTCTCCCCTCCTGCCATGGATACAATCCCTAGTATCATTGCAGAGTGCACCTTGGTGCTCTTACCCAGGGGCAGGTTGGAAGGGCTGGACTGCAGGTCCCGCGTGGCCCCGTGATTTGGCGTGAGGGACTGGCAGCTGCCCATCTTCAGGCTGGGAGAGCTGGAGGCACTGGGGAGCTCAGGGCCTTTGGGCTTGGCCGTTAGGTTCAGGGGCTGTGAAGACTCCTGGTTGCGGGGAGAGAGAAGGCAGAAGTGGTGTGTGTCCCAGCATGACCCCCAAGCCCTGTGAGGACAGCAGATTTGGGGCAATACCTGCATCTGGAGGTGGCTGGAGCCAGCGGGTCTCTTGAGCGACGGCGGAGGAGGGCTGTGTAGGAGCTGCACTGGGTACTCCACTGCAGAAAGAGAAGCTGGGGGAGAAGACACAACAGCAGCCATGAGCCAGCTGGTCTTGCCTGTGCCTGGAATTGGCCCCTGACCTCCACTGCTAGCACAGGTCCCTGTGTTTGGGACTCCCAACAGATGGGCAAAGCTGTTGTTCATGCCAGTGGGGATAACAGCTGCTTGAAACCTAAATGTTCCCCAGGCCTGCTAGCATGGCACTGATGATTAAGGAGTGCTGCTATTATTGCTATTATGGCAGTGCCTTTGGGCCCCGATGGTGCTCAGGGCTGTAGGGTGCAAGGTACTACTACCGCAACCCCCCCAAAGAACCTGGGCAGACAAAGGAGGGACTGCTCTCTCCTTTCTACAGATGTGGAGCTAGGGTACAGGCTTCTGGGCCTCACTGACAAACCCAAACTGCCTCTATAGAAGAGAAACTGCTACAGAGAGCAGAGGGTCTTCAAAGAGTTAATCAAGAGATGGGAGAGGCAGGGGCCCAGCGAGGTCCAGCAAAGATACCATCGACCAGCCAGAGGGAGGGATCCGGGTCCCCAGTGTGAGTCCCAGTGGCAAACGGGAGGAGGGCCAGGACCCCAAGTTGGGGGCAAGGGCACATCAATGCCTGATAGAAACCACCCAACACCCAGAAGCCTCCTGGCTCTCCCCTGCCCAGCCCCAACTTAGCTTCTTAGACAACTCGCCCCAGGTCTTGCTGAGCTTCCAAAACCCAAGGTCACAATCCCAGCAAAGGCACACAAGGGTCGATGCCCTGATCTAGGCTGTTTCTGAGGACAGTCACTTTTCCCCAGTGCCGCCTTTCTCACCTGTCCCTTCCCCCCCACTGTTCCCTGTAATCCTGCCACCCTCCGCCATCCCTTCCTTACCTGGTTTGCAAGGGATGGGCTGGATGGGAAGTGCTAGCTGGGAATCTGGAGCCACAGGGAGTGACTGATGGCTGGGGGGAAAGGCTGGGATCATGACATAGGGCATGTTGACCTGCTGGAGAAGAGAGACGTCCATGACAGAGCAGGTGGGAGCCCTGCCCAGGATCCTGGGATGGAGAATCAAGGGGGCTCTAAGCAGGGACTAAGAGCATGCCAGGGCTGGCAGAGAGGAAGCTGTCTCTTACCTGGATCTGCTGCTGCAGCAGGTTAATCTTGTGCTGCTGCTGAATAAGCTGTTGCTGCTGCTTGGCAATCTGTCAGAGAGGGAGACAATGGAACCAAGTGACATTAATAGCAAGGTGGGAACGGTCCCGCTCAGTGAGCCTCCTCAAGAGCTCTCCCCGCCGGCAGGATGGCTCCGAGGGGCAGCCCCCCAGCACTGGCAAAACAAAAGCACAGACAGTTGGTCTACAGGGCCTCCGAGGACCAAAGGACTCTCCTGAGGGCAGGGTCATGGCAGCAAGCTGCCAGTCAGGCCATATGCCAGCCCCTCTGGGCCTGGCTGAGATGCGACTCTGCTGCGATTACCAGGCAAGGGTCTCAGGGCTTGGTCCACACACAGGGTTGGGCCTATTTAGCAAAAAGGCAATTAGCTTATACCCATGCCAGAGGCTTAGGGTGAACGGTCTGAAGCTTAACCAAGAGGAAATAAAAAAGCAGCTACACACAGGTGTTTGAACTGGTTTAACTAAGCCAGGGGTGTCTGCGTGCGTCATTCATCAACTCCGTCCTGAACCCAAGCTGTGGTGCCTCTAGTTCAGGTGCAGAGGAATTTGATTCAGTTCTTAGTGACAGCCAAGGTGATGGTCACCATCCTTTGAAGGTGATGCCATGAAAGAGCAATGCTATCCCCTGCCAGCCTTGCACCATGACTGATAGACAGGTGGGGAGAAAGATTACCTTGTAACCCCCAAAAGCCCTCAACCCCCAAACCCCACTCAGCATGGAGAACAGACTTAGAAACACCAAGATACACAGAGAGAGAGTGACTTCTCCATGGTCACACAAGGAACCAAGCCCAGATCTCCTATGTAACCTCCCAAGTCAACTGTAATGCCAGCCTTTACTTCTCTTTACAGCCTACTAGAGTCTGAGAGATGGAAGTCTACTTAAAAATGATTAAAGATGAGGAAAAGCCTGCTCTGAGTCTCAGCTTAATTCAATTAAAATATCTACTTTAATACAGGCTCTCACTGCCATCTCCTTGGGAGCTCAGCACAGACAGAAATGTGATTCGTCCCCCACTCGTTACTTGGAGATGTTATTTGGGGATATGGAGGCCAGCGGCCGCCAAGATAAACTCAGACTTTTTGGTACTCCAGTTCTTAGATGAGCCCGGACATCTTCTGGTGTTGGCATGGAGGACACAAGAAAGGGCAGTATTCGGGGGGAAGGTCAATCTTGAGCTGTCTGCTCAAGAAGAGGTGAAAGCCTGGTCCCATTAGAGCCAAAACCAAAAGGCCTATTGACTTCAGCAAGGTCCAGCTCTTCCCCCAGCCCTTGCTGTGTTTCTGCCCCTACCTCAGTAGCCAGGTGACAAAGGCCCATCTTGCCCCATGGCAGTTTAGCTGCTCCGTGCCACTGTGAGGTGAGGCTTGGGCAGATCCCAAACTGTGGGAAACCCAACAAAGGTTGGCTGGACTACCTGCCCTGGTCCTCATGGTCTAGGGGCCAAGTGGCATAGGGAAGAAGGAAGCCCCAGGGCCCAGCCCGTGGCCTACCTGTTCCTGCTGCTGCCGGGCCAGCTCCATCTGCTGCTGCTGCTTCTCAAAGAGCATGGCTGCCATGTTCTTCTGCTCTGAATGGGCTGTCAGGAGCTGGTCCCTCAGTGTGGAGAGCTGGTTGATCATGACAAGTAACTGCAGCTCCTTCTCCGCTAGGCTCTCCTGTGTACCTGGATCAAGCAAGCAGCAGAGTCAGCCACTGTGGTTGGGTGCCTGATACCTGTTTTTTCTCCATAGATGATACCCTCAGGACTCCAGTGAGAAGCTAAGCAGGGATGTGGATGCAAAAACCATTTGTAGGGGAATGG